GGAGGAAGCAGAAAGGAGATATGGGCAGAAGAATGGTATCAAGTTGCAGGGTTGGGGTCCTGGCAAGTGAGCAAGGAGTTGTGCAAAAGCATAGATCACCATAGACTTTTACCTTTAGTATTGTATTTGACTCAACTTTTTAATGCCTTTGCTTCAGTGTGTATTTTGGCAATATCTCCTTAAGTTCTGGTTCATTAAAATTCTGGAAAATAGTAAGAGAGACAAAAATGTTTTTAATGGATTAAATTGAAAGATTTAAAAGATCTTCCAAAACATATTCACTTCAAAAAATCATATTTGCATTAGTATACACTTTCTTGGGTTTATACGGTGAGGACAAAACAAAAACATTAAGATAGTTCACTAAAGAGCACTCATTAAACACCATCAGTTTTCCATCACACTTCACACTAGAAATATTTATTGATTGTTCACTCTAAGTAGTATACACTGTGAAGTAGTTTGCATATTGCAAAAAATTAAAAGAATATTGGCTTTGCTCTCAAGGCTTTATATCATGGTGAAATGATAGATAATAGCAAGTAGGTCAAATTAAATATTGGTGAAAGTAAAAATGGCAAGTGTTTAATTATAGATGGCATAAAGCAGGACTACTTTACTGAAGTAATACTTAGGAGGTCTGGTCTTTGCCCTACTGGGGGACACTTGTCACTAGACCCTATAAGCATTTCTCGTTTGTCATCTGACCTGAAGATAATGAAAACATCAATTTTAAATTAAAAAACACTAATATATGCATCCCTATGTTCACTGTGGCATTATTTACAACAGCCAAGATATGGAAGCAACTGAAGTGGCCACTGATAGATGAATGGATAAAGAAAATATCTATACACACACACACACACACACACACACACACACACATCCCTCTTCTTGGATAAGCCACTAGCACATTTGAGAAATTCAGATAGCTCAGTTACTTTTCACTATAGGTCATGGTATGGAAGCAAGGTCTGGTGCTGTAAAGAGCAATATTGCATAAAAACCTGAATGTTAGGTCCATGAATCAAGGCAAATTGGAAGTGGTCAAACAGGAGATGGCAAGAGTGAATGTCAACATTCTAGGAACCAGTGAACTAAAATGGACTGGAATGGGTGAATTTAACTCAGATTATCATTATATCCACTACTTTGGGCAAGAACTCCTTAGAAGAAATGGAGTAGCCATCATAGTCAACAAAAGAGTCTGAAAGGCAGTACTTGGATGCAATCTCAAAAATGACAGAATGATCTCTATTTCCAAGTCAAATCATTCAATATCACGGTAATCCAAGTCTATGCCCCGACAAGCAATGCTGAAGGAGCTGAAGTTGAACGGCTCTGTGAAGACCTACAAGACCTTTTAGAACTAACAACCAAAAAAGATATTCTTTTCATTATAGGGGACAGGAATGCAAAAGTAGGAAGTCAAGAGATACGTGGAGTAACAGGCAAGTTTGGCCTTGGAGTACAGAATGAAGCAGGGCAAACCTCATAGAGTTTTGCCAACAGAAAGTACTGGTCATAGCAAACACCCTCTTCCAACAACACAAAAGAAGATTCTACACATGGACATCACCAGATGGCCAACACCGAAATCAGATTGATTATATTCTTTGCAGTCAAAGATGGAGATGTTCTATACAGTCAGCAAAAATAAGACCAGGAACTGACTGTGGCTCAGATCATGAACTCCTTATTGCCAAATTCAGACTTAAATTGAAGAAAGTAGGGAAAACCACCAAGCCATTCAGGTATGACCTAAATCAAACCCCTTAAGATTATACAGTGGAAGTGGGAAATAGATTTAAGGGACTAGATCTGATAGCAAAAGTGCCTGATGAACTATGGATGGAGGTTCATGAGGTTGTATAGGAGGCAGGGATCAAGACCATTCTCAAGAAAAAGAAATGCAAAAAAGCAAAATGGCTGTCTGAGGAGGCCTTAAAAATAGCTGAGAAAAGATGAGAAGCAAAAAGCAAAAGAGAAAAGGAAAGATATACCCATTTGAATGCAGAGTTCCAAAGAATAGCAAGGAGAGATAAGAAAGCCTTCCTCAGGGATCAATGCAAAGAAATAGAGGAAAACAATAGAATGGGAAAGACTAGAGATCTCTTCAAGAAAATTAGAGATACCAAGGCAACATTTCATGCAAAGATGGGCACAATAAAGGACAGAAATGGTATGGACCTAACAGAAGCAGAAGATATTAAGAAGAGGTGGCAAGAATACACAGAAGAACTGTACAAAAAAGATCGTCATGACTCAGATAATCACGGTGGTGTGATCACTCACCTAGAGCCAGACATCCTGGAATGTGAAGTCAAGTGGGCCTTAGGAAGGATCACTATGAACAAAGCTAGTGGAGGTGATGGAATTCCAGCTGAGCTCTTTCAAATCCTAAAAGATGATGCTGTGAAAGTGCTGCACTCAATATGCCAGCAAATTTGGGAAACTCAGCAGTGGCCACAGGACTGGAAAAGGTCAGTTTTCACCCCAATCCCAAAGAAAGGCAATGTCAAAGAATGTTCATACTACCACACAATTGCACTCATCTTACATGCTAGTAAAGTAATGCTCAAAATTCTCCAAGCCAGGCTTCAACAATGTGTGAACCATGAACTTCCAGATGTTTAAGACGGATTTAGAAAAGGCAGAAGAACCAGAGATAAAATTGCCAACATCCGCTGGATCATTGAAAAAACAAGAGAGTTCCAGGAAAACATCTATTTTTGCTTTATTGACTATGCCAAAGCCTTTGACTGTGTGGATCACAACAAACTGGAAAATCCTTCAAGAGATGGGAATACCAGACCACCTGACCTGCCCCTTGAAAAACCTGAAAGCAGGTCAGGAAGTAACAGAACTGGACATGGAGCAGACTGGTTCCAAATAGGAAAAGGAGTACGTCAAGGCTGTATATTGTCACCCTGATTATTTAACTTATATGCAGAGTACATCATGAGAAATGCTGGGCTGAAGGAAGCACAAGCTGGAATCAAGATTGCCAGGAGAAATATCCATAACCTCAGATATGCAGATGACACCACCCTTATGGCAGAAAGTGAAGAACTGAAGAGCCTCTTGATGAAAGTGAAAGAGGAGAGTGAAAATGTTGGCTTAAAGCTCAACATTCAGAAAACTAAGATCATGGCATCTGGTCCCATCACCTCATGGGAAATAGATGGGGAGACAGTGGAAACAGTGTCAGACTTTATTTTTTGGGGCTCCAAAATCCCTGCAGATGGTGACTGCAGCCATGAAATTAAAAGACGCTTACTTACTCCTTGGAAGGAAAGTTATGACCAACCTAGATATCATATTAAAAAGCAGAGACATTACTTTGCCAACAAAGGTCCGTCTAGTCAAGGCTATGGTTTTTCCAGTAGTCATGTATGCATGTGAGAGTTGGACTTTAAGGAAAGCTGAGTGCGAAAGAATTGATGCTTTTGAACTGTGGAGAATACTTTTGAGAGTCCTTTGGACTGCAAGGAGATCCAACCAGTCCATCCTAAAGGAGATCAGTCCTGGGTGTTCATTGGAAGGACTGTTGCTGAAGCTGAAACTCCAATACTTTATCCACCTGATGCGAAGAGCTGACTCATTTGCAAAGACCCTGATGCTGGGAAAGATCGAAGGTTGGAGAAGAAGGGAATGACAGAGGATGAGATGGTTGGATGGCATCACTGACTCAATGGACATGAGTTTAGGTAATCTCTGGGAGTTGGTGATGGACAGGAAGGCCTGGTATGCTGCATTCCATGGGGTAGCAAAGAATGGGACAGGACTGAGCAACTGAACTGAACTGAACTGATAGGTCATGGTAATTATCTAGATTTTGTTCTATGATAAAATAAAGGTTTAATTGACATGTTAAATAGTGACCACTACTAGTAAGTAGTGGTACAACTAATATTCAGACTCCACCTTGCACCTAAATGCAATTTGTTAATTTCTCCAGAAGACAACAAGAATCACTCAAGTCAACTGCACTCTTACTCAAAACAATGAGACCTGAGTGTTTACTGATGAAAATAACTTCTGTTCTAGTCCTCAATCTATTCTTTTTATGACACACCCAATAATATCACTCCCCCTCAGTAAGCATCAAGGTAGTTATAGTTATATATACTAGATAAGCTGTTCTTTGCTAAGTTGCTTCAGTCCTGTCCAACTCTTGCAACCCTGTGGACTGTAGCCCACCAGGTTCCTTCATTCATGGGATTGTCCAGCAAGAATACTGGAGTGGGTCGCCACGCTCTCCTCCAGAAAGTCTTACTGGCCTAGGGATTGAACCCGTCTGTTACCTCTCCTGCACTGGCAGGCTGGTTCTTTGCCATTAGCACCAGCTGGGAAAATCTCCTTTACCATTCCAATAGAAGCCACTAGCCACTGCTGGCCCAGGGCGGCCTCAGGGCTTCAGGTCCAGGTGTGATTTCAGGAACTGTCTGGCTGCGGCAGCAGGATCCTTGCAGCAGAAGCACCCACCCTGGCCCCTGGTGCTGTCTTCACATCACCCACTTTTCCTTCCCAAGGTCTTGGCAGCCCTCTTGTTCGGTTACCCTCACGGTGCCCCGGCACTCCTGGCTGTTTCAGCAATGCATCCTGCAGCACCGACTGCCTGGCCCTCCTCGCCAAGGTCGTCCATGAACGATTTGGGAATCTGGAAGGGCTGATGGTGAGCTGATGGCCACTGGTGGATTTCCTAGCGTGAACACCAAGACAGTAGAGACCTGGGGACTCCTTTTTCACTTCCTAGCTCAGCCACCTGGAGCTAGGAACCTGGACATTCTAGGAACCTGGACAGAGTGAGGCTCCATCAAACACTGAGCACCCAAGAGACTGAGCTCCTGAGGTCCTTCTCTGAAACTCATGCTTATCTTTGAAATTCTGATGCCCAGGTCATGTCCACGACTTCCTTAGCGCTACCCACTCGTCTGTCTTCGATACTAAGGCCGGCATCGCGCTCAACGACAACTTCGTGAAACTCCTTTCAGCTGCACCCCATGTCTCTGCGCGGGTCATGGCGGCGTCGAGTTCAGATCCAGACCCCTGCCGCAGGGGCTCGCTCGGTCTGGGCACCCAACCCTGAGAGTCGCTCCAAGAAGCCGGGACTGCACGGGATCCAGCTCCGGCTTGGGCTCCTTGCTGGCCACTGTGGGCAGATACCTGAGGATAAGCTAGCATATGTGAAAGTTTTCTGCTAGCTATGAAAACTCTTTAGCATAAATATCTAGCAGACTAATAGGGCTCTGTTCCCACCCTGTAGATGAAGCCCAAAACTCCATCCAGAGAAAGTACAGTCTTGATCTTTTTTTCATATATAAGACCTGACATGCAACTATTACTTATGATTAGACTTCTATTTGTGTTACTAGAGATATGGCTCTTTCAAGGAGAAAATCGCTGGCAAATACTTAGTAGTTAACTAGAAACATTAAGTCATCATTAAGCATTTTTATTGGTTTGTAAATCAACTCTGTTGCCTTCTTTAGAGCTTTATTCATAAAACACTTCAGATTTGTTTTTTTACTCTTCTTTTTTTCCCTTAACTTTCCTCATATATTCATTAAGGTAAGTCTTAGGGCTCTTTGACTCTGACTGTGGACAAAGCACATTTTATTCTTCCTTCTGTTGTTTGTCCCAGGATAAGCCTGATGACTGTGATATTATGTTCCTTGATGCCAGCATCTAGCCCTTCAGGATAACTTCCAAATGCTGGGAAGAGTTGACTGGGAAGGACATTGTCCCACAGGGAGCGATCCCAGACTTGTTCAGGTAGATGGAGCTCACACGTTGCAAGTAAACAAAGCCTCCTTTGCTTTTGACATCAAGTCTCTGTGATCTTTGGCAAATCACTTAACCCTCTCCTCCCAGTTTCCCCAAGAGCAACACCAGATAATGTTTCCATAAGGATTTCATGAAGTTTGCATGCAAAACAGTGAAACAGAGGAGGGACTCAACATAGCATTACTTGAATATTATTACTGGAAATAACAATTTTTTTTGAGAGTCAAAAACCTTGGTCTGACACTTTTACCCGTGAAATACTCTGCAAGGTGGCATCAGGCTCCCAAACACCCTAGAGGCATCCTCCACCAAACATTGTAAGCACACGGTCCAGGGAGGCTCACCTTCTTTGCTTCTCGTTTTCCTCTGCTTTTCTCAGTGTCGGTCTTTGTCTTTTGTCTGCCTGCCTTCACGCCACTCTCCCTGACACATCCACTGCAGTCACACTGCCCTCGCTCTAGGCTGGCTCAAGTCTAGAAGTAATATATCTCTTTGGGACTGCCAGCACTTAATGCCTGTATGCTGTTTTGTTGCAGTTCTCTCTGGTCCCCCATCTCAATGATCTGTATTTGTGTCTGTCTCCTCTATTAGTCTCTTATGACCTTTGTTTATCTGAGTTTGATTGACAGTAGACACTTATAAATGTTGTACTTTTTGCTGGACCACTTTGTGACCACTTACAGGCAAGCTGAAAGCCAGGGAGCATATTTTCCTGCCTCAGAAAGTGAGTGACAAGGATCAAGATTTTAAATTATGGCTGCAGGCATCTGGCGGATGGCAGAGGGGCCTGGGGGAACACACACACTGGACTCTGACAGTGTTTTATGGCCACGGAAGCTTACATAATGGGATGAGGTGAGAAGCAGCAGAGCCACCGGGCCATCACCCTCTCCTGGATGCATGCTCAGCTGCTCAAGGAAGGAGCAGGCTCCCAGCTCTGGCGCCTGGTGGGGAGCCCGGCTGCAAGAAGAAAGAATGGGTTTCCAGTTGAGTGGGAGGATTGTACATGGCCACTCTGGCCTGGCGAGGGACGACTGGCAGAGTTCCGTTCATACAGCAACTGGACCTGATCAATTTGCTATTCGTTCCTACCCGAGCTACCTGCACCTTCTTCAGAGGAGAAAAACGCCCACACCCAGATTTATCAAGCATCTAATATATGCCATGCAAAGGCAGGTTACATTACTGTGCTTCATCTGACTCTAAAAAATGTATATACATTAACAGACCAAAAAATACTATGATTTCTTATAGATGGAAAGTTAAGTCACTTAACTTTATTTATTACCTTAATTTTCAAAGTGGTTATGTGCTTAAGAGTCTCACAGGAAATTGCCAGAATCAAAATTTGAAAACAGGTTTTAACATTTTTTTTTATTGAATTGTAATTGATTTACAATATTGTGTTAAGTTTCAGGGATACATCCAAGTGATTCAGTTATACATGCGTATATATTCTTTTTCAAATTCTTTTATAGATTATATGATATTGAAAATGTTTAGTTCCCTTGCCATAAATAGGTCCTTGTTGGCTATCTATTTTATATGTATCAATATGTACATGATATGTTAATCTCAAACTTAACTTATCCCTTCCCTTCACCTCTCTTCCCATTTTGTAACCATAAATTTGTTTTCTATATCTGTGACTCTAGTTCTGTTTTGTAAATAAGTTCATATGTATCATTTTTTTAGATTCCACATATAAGTGATATATAATATTTGTCTTTCTTTTTTCTGACTTACTTTGCTTAGGATGATAATCTCTAGGTCCGTCTGTGTTGCTGCAAATGGCATTATTTCATTCTTTTTTTATGGTTGAGCCATACTTTTTTCTTAGAGAAGGAAATGGCAACCCACTCCAGTATTCTTGCCTAGAGAATCCTATGGACAGAGGAGCCTGGTGGGCTGCCGTCTATGGGGTCGCACAGAGTCGGACACGACTGAAGCGACTTAGCAGCAGCAGCAGCATGCTTTTTTCTAGTTTCCAAAACATAGTAGTCTTCCCTGACACTTCTTGTAAAGTCAGCTTCAAGGGCATGTTAAATTACAACTACTCACCCACTTGAAAACGGAAATGGTTATAAGCTCTGACAAATAGACCAAACTCCTTGATTTGATAAATAAGACTTTTGTACAATCAGGGCTCAGTTTTTCAGACAGCCCAGACCTCTTGACACTGAAATCACCCCTTTTCTAGTTTCCTGTGTTCTATTTACTCTTCTGCAAACAGTATTTCCTATCCTTGTTTTGCAAGTGGCTTGGACTACGCTTCTGCTCTAGAACTTACGGGAAAATTTAACTCTATCATATCTAGTTGAAAAAAATGCATAAACACTTTTATGCTTTATTAGAATCTTCCTTCAGGCACACCTCTCATTGTATTTTGTGGTGGTTAATCATTGCATATATGTTCTCCTGGCTAAAATGAGGAGAGATTAATGACAAGAAAGTAGTTTTCTCTTCTCTGGGTTAAGTTTTACACTCCCTACCATACAGTAGTTGAGAAGAAGATGGCAACCCGCTCCACTATTCTTGCCTGGAGAATCCCATGGAGAGAGGAGCCTGGTGGGCTACAGTCCATGGGGCTGAAGAGAGTCAGATATGATTGAAGCAACTTAGCATACAGTAGTCCGATATATCTGTTGAATTAATTAATCTGTGCTTATTTTTCATTATTCTGGTTCAACATAAATCAATATTAATTAAATGTATCATCTTAATCCATCTTCAAAAAGATGATTATTATTCAAAGGTGTACTTTGTTCTTTAAAATCTGTGCACAGGAACTCTTGGGAAGAGATTTAAAGTTGTACTGAAGAGCAGACTCTGTCGGCTCATCTCTGCCATGGAATGAAAGTCCTGGAAATCACACAGTGTCAAACGAGCCAGAGACAGTCACCTGGGAGCCGGGCTGGCCTCTCAGTCTGGCCTTAGGATTTCACTGGAAAGTATTGCTAATTCTCTCATTCTCTAGTTTATTTACACACACCTCCCACTAAGGATTCCTGCCTGAGGAAGAATCAAAGAACAGCTCTCATCTTATAAAAGTACAAAGGCAGAAGGACAAAAATTTACTCTGTTCCCTTGGGGTTTTGAAGAAGCATTTTTCTTCTATTTCATATTTCGGGTGTATGAAAGGGCAAAAAACAGTTCAAGGTTGTTAAGGAAGAGAAACAATAAAGTGCAGCTGGTTATAATCCCCAAAGCAGTTTATCTTGTATGAAGGTGTTTCTTTTTCCAGTGCATGCATGCATGCTAAGTCGCTTCAGTCATGTCCAGCTCTTTGTGACCCTATGCTTCTCTGCCCATGAGATTCCAGGCAAGAATACTGGCGTGGGCTGCCATGCCCTCCTCCAGGGGATCTTTGTGACCCAGGGATTGAACCCATGTCTCTTATGTCTCCTGCATTGGCAGGCAGGTTCTTTACCACTAGTGCCACCTGGGAAGCCTTCTTTCAAGATCTCCCTAATTAGGCTAAAGCCAGAGGAAATTTTCTCCTTATTTCACTATTCACTTTTATTGTATTGATTTTCAGTTTTTCCAATTTCTTTCTGCATGCTTACACGTATGACTCAACTTTTTTACCCTATCAATAAAGAAAATGATTCATTAGACACCTCTGATGAATTCTGGTGAGTTATTTTTTGCAACTCCTGCTTGCTTGCTCACTTAGTACCTCAGTTGTGTCTGACTCTCTGTGACCCTGTGGACTGTAGCCCACCAGTTTCCTCTGTCCATGGGATTTCCCAGGCAAGAAGACTGGAGTGAGTGGTCATGGCCTCTTTCATCAGAGGATCTTCCCGACCCAAGGATTAAACCTGTGTCTCTTGCATTGCATGTGGGTTATTTACCTGCTGAGCCACAGGGAAGCTTCTGTAAATCCTGCAACCATATCATTTAGATGCTTCATGATGGTGTTGCTTTTTATCCACAGAATCATACACTTTTAGAGCCACAGGAAAATTTTCAACTCATGGAAAATCTAGGTCAAACACCTAATTTCACAGGTGAGGAAGCCCACAACTGGTTGGCAGATGCTCAAGGTCACAAAATTCATTAAGAAAAGCCTGAGGACTAAACCATGAATCTCCTAACTCCCAGAGTTGCTGTCAGACTGTGGGGCTTTTCATGTCAGGTCACATCTTTCATTTGACTGAACCATTCTTAAAACCAAAGCTCTAGAAGTTTCCCCTTGGGCTAGACCCGATGAGCTCCAGGGTATAAGGACAAGGACACAGCATCAGAAACAGTTGGATCTGAAGCTTGACTTGCCATTTGGGGACAGGCCTGGAAAAGTTAACTCACCTTCTCATTTGCAATCTCATTATCTGTAAAAGAGATTTGTGATACTTATGCCACGGGGCTGTCATGAGGCAAGCATTAAAGAATAAATATACAATTTTAGTTCAGCTCC